ATTAATACCATAATTATAAAAAAATTATAATATAATTTATTAGTATGACTATCATACTATGAGAAATGCAATAACACAAAAGCAATAATATGATAACTAACCATAAAAACCCATTTTTTTATTTTACTCCATTGATAGATATGTTATATAATGTTAAACAATTGTAATATTAATGTTCGTAAACCAAGTTATGCTTACAGTTAATGTGTTACATGTGTTTATTTTCTCTAAAGTGTTGACTAATGATCAATAAAGTAAACTTCAAATAATGAAAGCTTACTAAATTAAAACCATATTTCAACTCAAATAACCACACATGGTAGAATCTCAAGGTAGAGCTGGAAAAAAAAAAAAAGCATATAAAAGACAATGTATATAATGCTCTTAATTAAAATATCAAAGATACAGTACATAACGGTACCAGTTTTGATTAACAATTGACAGGTAAAACTAAAGATTATTAGAGAAAAAAAGAATACAATAAAAATTAGACATGTTTAAATTTATAAAGATAATAAAATCTCATGAAAAATAAAATAACAACTAAAATAAAATAAATAATCCTTTTAAATAAATAAAACAATAAAAAATAAAATAATTATATTTTTTAATTTAAAAATTATACAAACTTTCTATTTGAAGAAGATCTTAAAGATACTGAATAAAGATTTGTATATACAGTGTATATACAAACCTTTATTCAGTATCTAATTTACAATGTAAAAAACACATAAATTCTTCCCTAACATCATAGGAATTGTCTATAAATCTAATTACTAAAGACAATTATTCCAGTCAGAAGCTTCATCAGCAATAACTGAAGATTTCTGAAATGAAAGAAAAATTGATTTTCTTTCATTTCAGAAATCAAAATATTTTGGATGTACTTTCCACAACAACTTATTAATTCATTCTGTGAGGAATTAGAAATATAAGATGCATTCTTTGCACAGCTGTTAAGATAATGGTCAAGAATTTTAAAAGTTCAATAAAATTACCTACTCCACCCACTAAAGAATATTTGCCAATGACCATCACAATGACCACTGAAAGCTATATTAAGTTGACCTAAGAAAATGATTTTCTCACAAAACAACTTCTTACAATTTAAAGCAATATCCTTTTCATATTCTTTATTAAAATATCTATATTTTAAATATTTCCATTCATAGTATTTAAAACTGCAGAAAATATGGTCCAGGCATTATAATGTAGAATTTGTACTGCGTGATAATGTTCATAAATATTTCAGCTGAGTGATATTCATAATTATTCCGGTTTTTCCCATGGTAATGTCTATTAAAAGTGCTCACAGCATCTGGCCTATATTTGAATGACTGAGAATACAAATTTTTAAATCTAGAAGCTTTTGAAGGGTATTTATATCTAAACAAAACACAACACAAACAAAATGCTCCATCTTCAGAAGGTGAATATCTAAGCCATGAAAATTGTTTTAATGATAAAAGTTTTTAAAGATTGCCCATTTGTTTTTGGAAAAGAAGTTTCATCAGAAACAAAAACATTTTGAATTAAATTTTATATTTGTAAATCTTTCAAAGTAGAAGCCTTCGAACGAAACAACAAATTGTTTATTTGTTGTTTCAATATCTGATGATGAACATAGAATACAAAGTTCAATATTAAGATTAAACATAAATTTATATTTTAGGAGAGAACTGTTCTATAGTAACACTAAACTCTTGTAGAACACACAATTGAAAGAGCAAGAACACAAAGAAACACAGACCATAAAAATTCTATACACATATGAAATGTTTCTTCCTTAACAAGGTTATTTTTTAATTTTCCTGAGTCTATAAAATGTGTGGATACAGACACTACTAACAAATTATCAATCGATGAAAACTCATTTGGATACATTGAGCACAAGCTTACAAACAATGGATGATTACTGTAAAAAGAGGCATTTAAATATAAATCAATTGCTGTCAGTATTCTTAAATCCATTGCCAGACTATTATCACCACACAGATAAATCCAAAATGAGCTAAATAAGCAATTGTCAGTTGATTCAGCTGAATCAGATCTGATCAGATCTGTAGCAGAGCTGTAACTGATCAGAGCTGTAACTGATCACTGTAACTGATCACTGTAACTGATCACTGTAACTGATCACTGTAACTGATCAGAGCTGAAACAGATCTGATCAGATCTGTAAAAAGGGCAATAAAAAAATTTTTAGAGTACAAAAAATTCTACAATAAGCTCAATGGAAAATAAAATTGGATTTAATCATTTATTTACAATAAATCAGTTTGGTAAAAAGTTGAACCAATTAGATCAAGGCAAAAAATGTATTTTATAATATTATTACTATATAAATTTACATCCCCAAATGAACAAACGCAGGGATAATATGTTTACAAATTTTAAATGTAATTTTTTATTTTAATTGTTAGGATAAATAAAGTAAATCTTACTTCAACGCCTAGTTATTCTTGACTCCTGAGGAATGTCGTGCTCTACTCTTTATTGACTTATGAACAGTTAACAACTGATAAAAATCTGACTTATGAAGGAGATAAATCTTTACTGACAATTCTGAATAAAGAGTTTGTAAATTTTCAATAAATCCATTTTCAAGCAAATACCTTACAGATTGTAAATGCATGCCATATCAAAAATTATTTAAAAGTTATTTAAAACATTCAAAGAATTATTCTTAGAAAAAGGCTTCTTTTAAATTAGTCAGGGGGTAATCATCATATATTTAATTCGACTGACTTGGCCTGAAGTTACGCTACCGAACGACAAAAATAAAACAATTTAAACTATTTTTACAAGTTTTTAAAATCTCGTCAGCCGAATAAAAGGGCCAGATAAGTCGCAAGATTTTTTTGGGTTTTTTCTCTTGTCAAACCGTTATTCCGACGTTGTCCTCAAGGTCCGAAAATGTAAAAAAACGACTTTTTTATTTAAAAGAGAACCTGCCTACTACAAACCCTCAGTCGTTGTTTCCACACTCCGCTGCATGTTCTCTCTAAAAATCAGTCGGTGTATGTGCACACCGCAGCGCAAATCCCTATATACCCCATTTCGCCTATTTTCTAGAAATACAAACTCGCGGACGCAAAGGACGCTCAACGTCGGAATAGGGGTTTGACACACTGATCTCTATAATAACTGGATAGCGCATCTCAATTATCAAAAGTGAAGCCAATATTTTGTACGGCCGCCATATTGGAAAGCCCCAGAATACCGAAGATACAGTAATTGCGCTTGAAGATGTACCTTTTTACTTCGTTATTATTTACTCGACCAAGTCACATATTTCAATGATATTATTATATTTAAAATGTTTGAAGGTGTAAAAATTATAAAAGGGAATCAAAAACACGCAAAACATTAACGACGAAGAGAAATATCGCTATAAAGAAATAATAAAATTTGTATTGGTTTCTATGAACGTGTTAAATTTATTGAATTCATGATATTCTAAATAAAACTTTTCTGAAAGACAAATTGATATTTGATCTGGTTACTTTTGGGTGTTTATTATAACAACTTGATGCGACCTTACTTAGCAATAGTACCTTTAAAGTAACTTTACAAGAATAAAACATGATAAAAAAATTGTATCAAACTTTTTTGTAAATGGTTTTCTAATTTTTGAAACTCTGAGGGCATGTTTATATTGTTCCACAACTGAAATATCATCAACTATGCAATACTTTACTAAAATTGATATCACTTAATAACAATGTTTTGTTCTGTTGCTTGCTAACTTTAATTACACTTTGTGAAGGTTTGAAAAAGTTATCTCTAACTTTAAAAAACACTAGATATTTGGTGATAACTAGTTATTTAGAGTTTTACATTAAAGTATTTAGTGTTTTAGACTAAATAACAGCATCACATACATGTTGATTGTTTATATGTAAATATGGTATAAATGAAAACAAACATGGTTTCTTTCAAGTTTTTTTTACAACTATTGACTCTAAAGTAAAATAATAATGATTCAGCTAACATCTATCAGTTTTATACTGATAAATATTAGTTCCATAATTAATAAATATTAAAAATATTTCTTGTGAAAACAAATAAGCAACAAAAGACCAAAATGAAAGGTGAACAATTTTTTTTATAAGTGTACATACTTTTTTACTTTTCCCTACCACATAATACCTTTTTATTCAATGTTTATTTTGTTATTCAATACGTATACAAGTTATTCAGTGATTATTTTGTTCAAGATGATAGAGCTAACTATTATTTTATTTATATATTTTTTCTTTAACATATTCTTTTGTAATTGCAATATCTTATACAAATGTTCTGGTGTTGTGAAAATGTCTAATGGCATTTACAAAAATGTCTTGAAAGTATTTTTCGACAGTTAAGTTAATTTATATATATATATATATATATATATATATATATATATATATATATATATATATATATATATATATATATATATATATATATATATATATATATATAATAGCGTTAAGTTAATTTATATATATATATATATATATATATATATATATATATATATATATATATATATATATATATATACACACGCAAGAACAAAATTATTAAAAGTAAATATAAAGATTTGCTATATGTTGCCTAAGGAACCTTTAGGTTGTGTTACAATCACATTGCCTAACTAATGGTTCATACAGCAAACTTGTAAGCTGTTTACCTTGCAAATATGTTACAAGCCTCAGGCATTTTGCAGAGGGCAATTAAGAATCAAAAGGTGCATACTAATATACACTTGCATGCTATTATAATAATATTATACCAGGGTGGCCAGCTAACTGGAAATCATGGAAAAGTCAGGGAATTTTTTTCTAGTCAGGGAAATCAGGGGAAAAAGTCAGGGAATTTAATTCTTGAAAGTGGCTGGCTACCCTGTATACATAATTTATATATATATATATATATATATATATATATATATATATATATATATATATATATATATATATATATATATATTTACTCTCCATGGAATAATCTGAACATATAACATCAGATTTACTCGGTTATTAATAATCAATGAATTTATAAGGTTTTTGCAGTTTTTATTTATCAAGCGAAATTTGTGCTTTAAGCGCATATAAGTTTAACGCAACTACGGATTTATAAATTCTGGGGCTTTCCAATATGGCGTCTTTTGGCTTCAAAAATTTCGAAAATTTATTAGGAGATGCGCTATCCAGTTGTTATAGAGATCAGTGGTTTGACAAGAGAGCCTACCGGTAGGCTCTCTTGTCAAACCCCTATTCCGACGCTGTCCTCTAAGTCCGCGAAATGGCGAGTTATAAAGCTTTAAAGATTTTTTGGCGAAGTTACGGAGTTGAGTAAAACTTGTGTTTGAATAGAAGCAATTATTTAACAAAAGTTTAGAACTGGCAGGAAAAAATTACTTGTTTAATAATACTTTTTATATAATCATAAGGAATAGAATGGAAAGTTAATCACCACGACGTAAAAATATTTTATTTATAGTCAACATTAAAAAAATTTTAACTTAAATTAAGTTAAAAATCTTTAAGATGTCAGGGTTAGGGAACCCTTGACTGAGATGTTTACACATAATAAATAACTTTAAACTTCACACTGTTAACAACATGTAAAGATTTTACATGTTTTTAATAGTGTAAAATTTAAAGTTACAGTTAAATTTGTTCAAACTTCCATATGTATGTTTGACTAAGACGGTTATTTGGCCATTAACATTTAAATATTAAATAAAATATTTTTTAAAATTATCTAAAGTTAAAGGTTTAATTTATTCAGTCTTCTACTCCCAATTACTTATTTACTGTGTACTTTTCAGTAAACAAACTCTAATCAAACCTTATTTAAATTGATACTCTTTTACCAAGTTTTTTTGTAGCCAATTGGTCAATTCTTCTAAGTTTTTTAGAAAATGGCAACCGTGGAAGAAATAAGTAAATCTTTTTCTTTTTTTAAATTTCTTTATTTACTTTTCTGTTATTAAATTAATTATATTTTATTATTAATATTAAGTTTGTTATTGTATTTATTTTTACTTTTTGTATTTATAATTAGAATTTATTATAATATTTATTTTAAGGCAATGAAGTGATTAATACCACATTTTCTGTGTTTGACACTCTACAAAATGCAGAAGATTCAATTATTAAATATGAGATGCAAACATCCTCAAAATTTTCAACGTTTAAAAAAGATAAAACTTTTAGCGTAAAGGGTATAGATTTTTTAAATTTGTTTCTTAGTTTGCTTTATTATTTATATATTCATTGTTATTTATATGCATAAATAATATTTAGTTCATTTTTTAAGGGATTAAGGTTATTTTTGTTAGATCTTACTGCTACTGGTACCATGTAACCCAGTAAAACCTGCCTATTATCATGCTGTCTTGTAGGATATGCTTTTTTGAAGACAGCTGGTAGTCAGGTTTACCAAACTCTGTGCTAGCTCTCAAAGAGGTTGATTCCAAAACAGCTGTAAAATATGATAGTACTAACAGTGTATTGAGTACTATCCATGCTATCCATGAGTCAAGTTCTTTTAAAAATCCAAAAATGAATAGTGTACCAAAAAGTATAATACATATCAGTAATCTTATAATTTTTTTTTTCAAATCCTTATTCTCGCAAAGTTCACTTAACCTTTGTAAAACTAGTTTAAGTTCGCTATCTTAGTGTTCATTGATATCTGTCTTTGATTTATTAAGATTGTAATATTCACACGATTGGCCTAGGCATTTACATACTTAACAATTCACTAATTTGTTAGGTGACTTTGGTTTAAATCTAGGTTTGAATTTTCTGAGTATTCTTTTATATTCTTTCGTTTTGGAATGTTTTTTCTGACCAAGCTCTTTCACTTTATTCTTTTGCTAATATTGTTGTTGTTGGTGACTTGTTGTTGCTAGGCTATGCTGTATGAGAGTGAATCGCCCATATTTAATTTTGTTGCATTATTTTAATTTTCTGGGAAGATATATTGTTAATGTGTTGTAAAGGTACAGCAAGTAAATCATCCAACATTTCCTATTTAAAGTTTTTTTGAATTCGACAATGGATATAAGCTATAGTTTATATCCACTGTCAAATTCAAAAAAACTCTTCATAGGAACTGTTGAAAAGGAAATGTTGTTTTTCTTAATTACAATTTACCTGCAATATATATATATATATATATATATATATATATATATATATATATATATATATATATCCTTATAGTGTAGTCGAAAGAGACTTTTATGGTAAAAAAAAGTCTCTTTCGACTACAATTTTTTTACCTTGTTTCTTAAGCTGCATTTTATTGTTGTCGAAATGTCAAAGCAATTAAATTAATGCGGAAGTACATTAAATTTTATTGTTTTTTTTAAAAACCGCAATAATAATGACTAGAAAGTTTTTTTTAATTAGTTGTGTTTTTGTTTTTGTTTTATTAAAAAAACATTTTTAAAGCATGCGTAAGTGTTGCTACATCGATTATCTTATAGTCTGCTGCTACAAGGGAGTGTTGCTACATCGACTATCTTATAGCTTGACTCGCACCAGAGTACTGCTACATCGACTTACAAATAATAATTGTGTTTGTTAATCTGTTAATTAGTACTGATATGGATATAATAACAGTAGCACTAAATATATTTTAAGCATTCTTAAATATTTGTACATTCGATATATATGTGTATATGTAAATACGTATATATCGAATACTACTATCTTTCTACTATCTATTACATCTACTAATTTATTGCTCTGTTCTTTTAAGAACATTGAGCACTCCATTTTATAGAACGCATTTATAATTATATGTATATATATATATATATATATATATATATATATATATATATATATATATATATATATATATATATATATATATATATATATATATATATATATATATATATATATATATTTACATATATGTGTATATGTGTGTGTGTACATATATATATGTGTGTATATATACACATATATACACACACACATATATATTTACATGCATATATGTATACATGATTAGAAGCTTACTGATTTATGAAAAATGAAAAAACATGAAATGACTAGAAAGTGTATGTGTCATAAATGTATTTATATTAAGATTTAATAATAATGTTAACGCTATATGACAAACTCTTGAAAAGATGCCTAACCCACCTTTTCGAAATTTCGCAGGTTATCACTTTAAACCACATTAAAAGTGGGTTAAAGTGGTTATCATGGAAATTTAAGAAATGTGAGAAATGAGTCTATTATATGTAGGGTTGGATTGGCATCAGCCTGCCAATGCATCTACCATTTAGCTGATGCATCAACCATTTAGCCGATGCATCGGCCTAGGTAACCATCGGCCAATCCCGATGGTTTTAAGAACAGTTTTTATTTTTTGTCTATAATGCAATTATTAAAAAAATATAAATAAGGATTCAGGTAGATAAGGTAAAATTTTTGCAAGTTTTCTCATTAAAAATATTTTTGTCTATTATTTTTGTCAATTATTAAAAAGATCGTAAATAATAGTTATTACTGAGCAATTAAATTAAGAATAAATTGAAGAAAAAGAAAAGAAATATTAAATTATTATTTAGTTGTATAACAGTCTCAAAAATGGAAGCCATTAAAAACATTAAATAAAATTCAACACAAAATTGAAGATATAAATAATAAACTAGACGAAGAAATTTATATGAATTTGAAACATTATATTTTAAATAAAGTGTATCCGCCTGGTTACGATAAAGCACAAAAAAGACGACTGCGGCAAAAAGCTACTTCTTTTTTGATTGTAAAAGATTTTCTTTATCACAAGAGTAAGAGTTTACATACTAAATTAGGAAGAGTTATCATTGATGAAGACCAAAAAAAAAATATAATAAAGTCTATGCATGATGGAATTATCGGCGGATGTCACTTCGGTCAATCTGCAACAATAGCTAAAGTAACCAATCGGTATTGGTGGTCTTGTATAGCAGCAAACGTCAAAGATTTTGGACGTAAATGTGCGGCTTGTATCAACCTTATTAGTCCTCTTAAAGAGACAAAAAAAGGAAAAAAGTATATTTGTGTAGCTACTGAATATCTTACGAAATATGCGGAAGTGAAACCTATTCGGGAAAAAAATGCTATTAGTGTTCATGCATTTTTGATGGAGCTTGTGTTCAGATTTGGTGCTTCTAACAAAATTTTACACAACCAAGGTAAGGAATTTAAGAACCAGCTTGTCCACGATCTCTGTGAACAAATGAAAATAACAGTTGCTATGACATCTGCATACCATCCTCAAACTAATGGGTATATCTTTAAAAAACAGATAATTCTTTTTCAAGATGGCTGAATATTTTTATATAGTTATAATATTTTTAATATAGTTATATAAAATTACCGTTTTAAAATAAAATTTGAAAAATTTTATTTTAAAACGGTAATTTTATGCCATTACAACAACATATACACACCATATCATATTAAACAAATTTTTTTCTATAATTATAAAACAAACTTTTATCTCATTGGATTTCCAGGTTGACGGAGCAATTTAATCAAACCTTGGTATGACATTTTCTCAAGCTAATAAACAAAGAAAGTGACAATTGGGACCTATTTATTAATCCAGTTGTTATTGCTTATCGCATTAACATTCAAGCATCTGTAAAGTATTCGCCATTCCAACTAATGTATGGAGTATAAGCTCGTCTTTCAATCGATATAGAAAAAGACATATGCGAGGCTTCTGTTGATGAAAACGATGATGTACCTCAACATATAATTACCCTTAAACAATCCCTACAAAATACACGAGAACAGGCGAAAGAAAAGATTGAAAAAGCGCAACAAAAGGTTAAGCATTCAGCTGCAACCTATAAAGTCGGGCAAATGGTACTTAAACATAACCGTCGTGACACACGAATGGGTGACAAGCTTTCTGCGCGATTTACAGGTCCTTTTAAAATCATAGACGAGTTAGGTAAAGGAGTTTACAGACTTCAACTTGGAGAAAAAATTATTAAACAAGTTGTTAATGCTAGCAATTTAAAACTTTGGTTTCCACCTACATTAATTACTTCACTAACTTCTGTTTTATTGGAAGATGTTCATTTGAAACAAGCGATAACTTCAATAGAAATTATAGATTTAGAAGATTCACTCCCACCAATTGCATGGTGGATACAGGAACTGAATCTAAAACAAGAAGATAAAGAAATTTTGGAGTCTAATGAATGGCTAAATGACCGCATTATCGACGCTGTTAATACTATCGTTAGCCTTAATTTGGCGAATGAAGAACCATGTCAGTTAACACTACTTTCTCAAGGGATAGAGGGGTTTAAAGCTTTGAGTTATGACTCAATTAAAATTTTGCATGATTTAAATCACTGGGTATGCACAGCATGTTTTGATGGATATGCACAGTATAATTTGATGGTCATATAACTTTCAAAACGGTTTCCATTTGCAATCTATTTATTTTGAAAATGTAATATATTTATGACGTATATATTATTCAATCATACTGTCTTTTTATTTTTTCAGACAAGTTAAATAAGTTAAATAAATTTACATTTATTTAATGAAGTTAAATAAATTTACGTTAAAATTAATTTAAATTTACATTTATTTATAATATTGTTGTTTTTGGTGACTTTAATGCTAGGCTTTAATGTCTGTGCCGGCTTTAAAAAAAGAGCAAAAATCTAACTTATAATTAGTATATTAGAATAAATTAAATATTGACACTTTAATGTTTTTTTAGATTTTGAGTTGAAAAACCACAAAATACTTTTTGAAGATAAAAAGAATAAATTTCGCCCTAGTCAGCAAATTATGTTTAGTGGAGTTCCGTTTATAATTGTTGGTTCGAAACATCTTGATTGTACTCATGGAGTCAATCATACTATATCGCGGAAAATGAGAAATCAAGCAGAAAAACTGAAGGCAAAAGTAATTTATTTTGACCACTTTTAAAAATTTGATGTGAGTAAAATATGTCCTATTAATCGATACAAAAACAACTAAACAAAAACAATGGATTAGAATCTTATCTTGATAAATATATAATTTTTTAAAATGTTTTTATGTGTGTGAACTTTCATTTAGGATACTGTTAATAGTGCCACAATGTATGCTAAAAGTCGTTTTTTGTCCCAAGATACAAAGAAAATGAACTGCCCTGCAAAAATTACAATAAGAGATGTGGTTTATTTTCCAGATTTTAAAGTACAATACAATTTCTGTGATTTTTCTTAGATTATGCTTTATTATAAAATAGCGGTAACAGACTTAAGTTAAATTTTTTGTAAAAATTAGACTATTTAATGGAATAGATTAATAGATTAATTTTAAATTTAGGCAGAAGCTAACACTGAACGCCGAAAGCGTACTGTCGCTGAAAAACTGAAGGAGGACTGGAGCAACAAAAAAGAAACATTTAATTTTGATAGAAAAATTGTTGTTAATTTCCCCTTAGAAGACGAACACAAAGGTCATTTAGTTGGAAAAGTTTTTTTTTTTTTTTCTGAAATTTTAAACAAAATCTTTAAAAAGTCAAATATGGTTACCAACCCTCAGATTTAGTTTCAGCACTCTGCAATGCTGAACTATCTGCTGATCTGACTTCAACCTCTTTTGTTGACTTTGTTTCTATATTATTGTATTTTGTGCCTTCCAGAAGACCACCAAAAATAGTTTAATGTTAATAATATATTGCGACCTTCTTTTTCTTGAATCTGAAAGTAAAAAAAAAAAAAAAAAACATAATATAAAATGAAACCATTAAAGTTAACCAAAAACATTCAAAAATTTTTTTAGAGGGCTGGTTTGTCACTACAAGTTGATTCTAAAATTATTTCCAAAATTTATCAATTAGTTGGAGAAGGGATCCGAAATCCACGTGAAATGCAAAGATCTATTCGTGTATATGTAAAAGACGAACTATTTAGAGGACTAGAATTACCACCAACATCATCTAGAAGATACTACCCAAAAATTCAAGATATACGAAATCATATGTATAAAGCTGCTACAAAGTTGAAATTTTCTAAACTGGATCAAGAAAATCTCCAGCAAAAGGTTGAAGAATGGAGAAATAAATACCCAAGAGATAAGTTTTATTATCGTGGTTACGGAGAAGTTACAGACCATAGCAAAGAATTAGAAGTTTCAGAAAAATTTAACAGAGAAAATGAAGAAGATATTTTTGTAAGTGAAAGTTGTATTGGTATATTATGATTATTTTGAGTATAATGAAAGGAAAAAATGATACTATAAAAAAAATAATTTAATAAATCAAATGCATTTTTATACTTATTTTTATCTTTTAGAGAAATGTTCTTAATATGTTTAATATATCTAGAAATGTATCCCTGGCAATATTTTTGATGTGATAAATTTTTATATAAATTTTAGTAAGCTTTAGAGATTATTTTTTATTTTAGTTTTATATTTAGTCTAACGTACTTCCTACAAAACAAAAACTTATTTTTATTCACCAGACAATAAGTCAAAAAGAACTTCTTTATAAATATGGCAATCATATATGCCTACTAGATGCCACTTATAAATCTACTAGATATTCAATCCCGTTGTTCTTTGTTGTTGTAAAAACAAACAGTAACTATCAGGTAGTAGCGTCCTTTGCAGTGCAAGATGAAACTACTGATACAATAACAGAAGCACTAAAAAAATTAAGTCAGTGGAATCCAGAATGGAACCCTAAGTGTTTTATGACTGATAACTGTGAGGCAGAAATTTTATCAATCGAAAATGTTTTTAAAGGTTGGTTTGTTATATTTAATTATAATTTCTTTTTGTTGTTATAGCTTCTTTGTTCATGCGTATACATAGGTAAGGTATATTTATGGTAAATTATTATCCTGTGTAATTAGAGTTGCTGCCCTAACTGATGTTCTGAAAGTGTTTGATAATTTTTTGTGAAAATGGTTGATTATTTTTAGTAATAGATGAAGTTGTTATATATACAGGGGTGTGTCCTTTGGTCATTTCATGGTGTCCCTGCAGCTGAAATATTTTCTTACTTGAGTTGTCTGCAATGATAACCAGTAGGCCGGTAATATCTAAAAATGTATTAATGCGCCATAGTGTATTTATTTTTAAACGTAGTGTATGACTAAATTAAATACTTTTTGAAGGTTTCTTTTAAATAATTGTAAGGAATGAAATCTTATATTAATAATAAACATTTTTTTGTAAGTAACAAACTGCCTGGTTGTCCTGCTGGGCTACCAAGAGAAATTTTATTTGAAATTTAAGTCACCATTTTAGAAAACAAGTTTTCCTGTGCCACCGGATGACTATCAGGGTACACCCCTTATAATAGAAAAGTGTTTACACCTCTAATATACCAAATTACATTAGGGGTGTAATCCCATAAAAGTAGCAAAGATTTGTCTATGCTAAGTATATATATGATAATAGAAATAATTTTTAATTAATTGATTATGTCAAAAAAATGTAATTTCTATAGTTGGTGAATGTCATTCACCAAACCCTCTAGTGCCTTTATCAGTTATTCAAGCGGATATCATAAAAGCTGATGTAGTACATATGTTGTGGGATATAGATTTGCAGAATAATAAATGTAGTGAAAAAAATGGGTTCATTAGTGTTAGAGCTATTTTAGAGTTAAGAAATTGTAAAAAAATAATATTAACCTTAAAGTACCCTGGATTTTAGGATTATTGGTGCCTAATTTCCTCTAAATTAAAGACATAAGTTACATATGAAATAAATTTATATTTGAGCGTAATGATTGTTTTTAAGATTGCTTTGTTATTCTCTGTGATTTTCACCGTGAGCAAGCGTGGGAAAGATGGTTGTCTGCTAATGCAAATGGAATGAGATCAGTCAAGCACACTGCTCTTTGTTTACTTAGACGAATAGCTGCTTCTGAAACACAGGAAGAATATGACATTGCTATACAAGCTCTACACAAGGATCCAATATGGATCTCTACAAATAGCATTAAATTTAAAAATTACATAGAAAACACATGGTTGCCTGAGAAAAAGGTAGGATCTTGTTGCTTACAAGTTTTATGCAATATAACCATTTATTATCCTATTATGTATCCTATTATGTGTATGAATTGACGTAATACTGGCTTTTTTCCTTTATGTAGCGTTGGGTCAAAGCATTCAGAAGTGGAATATTAGAGACAGTTGTAAATACAAACAACGGTGTTGAGCGAAAAAACAGAGATTTCAAACATGAGTTTTTAAATCAGTATAAGGATAACTCGTTAAGTGGAATGGTGACAGTTCTTGTTGATCAATTTATTCCTGAGACATACAGCAGGTAAACTTTTGACAAAAGCATTTATACTGAAAAGCAATTATACTTTCATTATACTAAAATGACAATGCAAACATTCGTTGTTAATTGATAATATAGACATATATTGTCAAATTTATTAGAATAATAAAAAGGGATTTTATTAGTTTCTATGTATATGCAGTTTTTTAATAGACCTTTCTATTCTTATTAAAGTTTTTATAAATTTTAATAATTATTGTCTTGAGAATAATCTTAGCAAATAATTTATTATTATTCATTCTTTAAGGTATGTGGAAGCTAATATTCGTCGCTGCTCAGACTACAGACTCTACAATAGCAACCTTCCAAAATGGCTTTGTAATAAACCTGAGAATTTCACAAGACATTGTATAGAAAAGATTGGTCTTGTGAAGGACTGCAACAACCTAAAAATTACATTCCATGAAAATTCTAAGAATAAGCAAATGTATGAGGTAAAAAGCTTCACAAGTGCAAAAAGTTATATTGTCACTATTGGAGGTCAAGACACTAAGTTCCCTGATTGCCAATGCATAGAATGGAAGAAAACATTGATGCCATGCAAACATATGGTAGCAATCTTTCAACATTGCGATGGAGTTAGTTGGGATTTATTGCCAGATAGTTACTGATTATCTCCATACTTTTGTTTGGATAATTCAGTCATTTATGGTAATGAATTTTGTCATGAAGAAGAATCTAATATATGTTTTGAAGACAACTTATCTGAGACACAAGGTCATGTTATTTTGGAAAATGTGCAGAATAAAATATACCCTAAGCAAACAAATGCATCATCATGTAGAGATATCCTTTCTCAAATAAAAACATTAAGTTACTTAGTTTATGATGAGAATGTGGTTAAATCCTTAAAATTTAAACTTCAAGAAATCCTAAATGAGCTTCAAACACTTGTCCCTAAACACGACAACATCCCATTAGAAAGGAATGAAGTTACTAAGAAAAAAAGGTGTGCATGTGCAATTTCAAATAAATTACCTAAACCAAAAATTTTGAAAACAAAACTTACCGGCAGAATTGGAATTTCGACAGAAAAAAGAAGAATTGCATCTAGTATAAAAATTTTAGAAAAAGAAAAGGAGAAACAAGATATAATTGAAGAATATGCACCTTTAGACGATTCTTTTTACAATATTCCTATCGAACCAATGTGATTTGTCTATTTTTTAATCAAACCAAACACTTGAGGCCCGAAAACCCTAACAAATATTAGAATCACTGGTTTGGACCTTTCAATAGTCCAATCACACTTCAGATTTATGGTGACAAGAAGAGAATAAGCTCAAAATCAAAAAAATTTTAAGAAGGACAAACAGTTATTAATAATTCTTTTAAATGAAGATTGTAAATATTTTATATTTATTAAAAAAAAGTTTGATTTGAAGTTAGAGTTAAAAGTTTAACTTTTTAGTGAGACTGCTTAGAGAAAAAATAGTTGATAACAACAATTGTTAGTCAATAGTATCACTTTTAGTTAATTGGTTTTTTTAGTTTGGCTTTTTTTTAGAAATATTTCAGGTCTTTATTTTAATAAAGTTTTTTTTAAAGTTTAGATGAAGCGTTTGAGAGGATCTGTCAGTATTTTTATTATTAGTTTTTTAAAATAAATTAAATTACTTCTTTACTTTAGACTCAATGGAACCTGGGGTATGAGTCTTATTACATTGTATTATTCCTAATATAAGTAGGAGTCCAATATTGTCTAGTTAAGGTTTAACATTATTTCTGTTGATTTTCTTTAAAAGCCTTTTTTTTATGTCATATTGTTAAAAACCAAGAAATATTTTTATATTTCAAGGTTTTTAACAACATTTTTTGTATATCAATTAATAGTTAATTATATAAATAATATAGTTATATAAATAAGTAAACTTTTATATGTATGAATAACAAAATATGTTTTTTAATATTTTCTTTCTTTTTTCTTTTTTTTTTCTTTAGTGTCTAGCTTTTGTTTAAATTTGGTTGAACCTACTGTTGAGATATGGTTTTAATTTGGTAAATTTTAATGATTTGAAATTTACTGTATCGATCATTAGCCAATAGTTTAAAAAGTAAACTGAGTTCATCATAATTAAGGTAAAAAAAATTTGTTTTTTGGCAATATATCTATTTTTGATGTTAATAATAATAATTTTTAATAAACTTACGTTAATAATGATACGTTCATATTATTTTAATCATTTAATATATATTTAAATTGATAATAATCGGTAGAGTACCTGTGTTCAGTTTTCTGCAAAAAAATCAGTGAATAATGAGTGAAATTGGGTTGAATTTTGATAATTATAATGAGTGAAGTTGGCTTGAATTTTGAAAATAATAATCAGCGAAATCGGGTGGAATTTTGAAAAAGTCACGGAGTAATCGAGGAAATGGATGTGTGGCTAACTCACATTACATATGTCAAATGTATATAATATATTTTTAATCTAAACATTTTTAAAGTAAACAATTTCCCGGCAAATTTTTTGTTTTATTTTCCCTGCAAATTTTTCGCATGACGCTTCGAACAATTGCTAAATATAATTTCGCCATTAAAAGGCAAAATATTTAAAGTACGTAATAAACATTATTTTAACATAACCAAATAACCAAACTATAAAACTTTTATATACTAAATATTTTATTTTTATTATAAGTATTTGATTTTATAATTAAGCAAAATATAATAAAAAGTAAAGCCAACTTATTAAATGGTATTCTCCTTGTGGCGGTGCGCTGTGACAAGACCATTAGGATTTTTTAGAGCATCTTGATAAAAAAAAAAAAAATTAAAAATAAACTCCGTAGCAACTCCATCGCGAAATCTTTAAAGCGTTATAACTCGCCATTTCGCGGACTTTAAGGACAGCGTCGGAATAAGGGTTTGACAAGAGAGCCTACCGAGCCTACCGATTTTTTTGACTAACTTGGCCTTAAGTTACGTTACCGAACAGTAAAAATAAAAAAAATTTAAAGGACTTCAATAATTTTTTGAAATCTCATCAGCCGAATAAACGGGCCAGATAAGTCGCAAGATTTCTTGACTAACTTGGTCCGAAGTTACGCTACCGAAAAAAAAATTACAAGACGGGGCTATTTGGCGCATATACTTATCATAGTTTAATTGTTATTGCTGTTTAAACCAAAAAAACAGAGATTTTATTTAATTTCAAAAATCTCAAAAATATATAACATATTTCATTAGCCTGATCGTTGTTTAGTTTAGTAAAAAAGATGTTAGTCAATGCGCCTAACAAGACTAACCCTAAACCCGCCCCTGTATATATATATATATATATATATATATATATATATATATATATATATATATATATATATATATATATATATATATATATATATATATATATATATATATATATATATATATATATATATATATATATATATATATATATATATATGTATATATATATATATATATATATATATATATATATATATATATATATATATATATATTTATATATATATATATATATATATATATATATATATATATATATATATATATATATATATATATATATATATATATATATAGGCACACAATATATATATTACAAAAAGTAAACTTAAAAGTTTTAAATCAATATATGTCATTGCAAAAAGATTAGTTACATTAGACTTACTGTATTTGAATCATTGGTGGTAATATTTGAAATAATTCTTTGTCTATATTTTTGGTAGCTTTCTAGAATAAATACTTTTCATAAAAGTATTGGGAAACTAAATATTGAAAAAATTGCATCTTTTTTTAGTTTCTTTTGTGAACTGTCGCTGGAATTTTGGTCCGCGATAATTTTTATCCCGGACCAATATTTTCGTTGAAATTTTTGGTCCGGCCGGATAAATTTTTGCGATAATTTTGGTCCACCTTGAAAAAAATGATCCGTGATAATATTTCAAAAATTTCGCACAAATATTGTAGTTTTGAAAACGGACCAAAATTAGCTAAAGTAGTTGCTTTTGTTTTAAACCTTTATACAATTACATCCAATTATACAATTACATCCAATTATATAATATATATATATATATATATATATATATATATATATATATATATATATATATATATATATATATATATACAATCGACAAAAAAACAAAGTAAGAGCTAAACGTTATTATTTAGCTCTTACTTATGGTATTTATTTTGTTTTCATTTTACATTTTAAAAAAAATTTTGAAGCGCCTAACCCTATAATACACAAATGAAATAAAATCAAATTCTGTTTACCCATTGAATGTTCTAATTTTTCTGAATAAAATGAAAAACTTATAAACATTAAAATGAACTAATTTGCCAAATATAGAATAACTTAATGTTAAATAAATATGTAATAAAAAAAATAAAGAGCATGACAACAACAATAGCAAATTGCTTACTTAGATTCTTAACAGAACCTTCTACTTTTTCTAAATAAAATAAATTTAAAAGTTACAAAAGTTACTTGCTGACTGACAAACTGTCACAACTGACAAAAGTCAGTTGCTAAACAACTTTAAAAAAACTAAAAAAGCATAACTGTATTTGCACACAAAAAAATAACTATAAAAAAATTCCTGACTTAGCTTGTCCATTACTTCCGCTAAACATTAAAAAAAAGTTATAATTAACAAATTGCTGAAATTGGTAAACATATATCTTTGTAACATATCCTTCTCATACAAAGTTAGCTTACTTGGCAAGAGCTCTTCGGTTCTGATCTCGTGAACATCTAATATATATATAGACAAAATTAATTTTCAAAATATTCACTTTTTCAATTAAACATATAAGATTTGTCTTAAATTATAAAACTGTTGCACAGTTTTATAATTTAACACATTCAGTAAATGACAAAAAGTTTCATTTTACGTAAAAGTTTAGTAGTTAAAAGACTTAAAAGTCAATTTTAGCTTAAACACGTTTTATAAAATTATTGCTTAAACACCTTAAATAAAGCTTATACGCGTTTTTAAAGTTTACTGCTTTACAAAAACATCAATCAAAATAGCGGAATAAACAAGAACTGAGTTTCGGGTCCATCCTTTTAAAGTTCTAAAAATTAATTTATATATTTTTTAATTTTAGTTAAATTTTAGGGCGGTGTGCTTGATTTACGGGGTTAGGAGAGGGCGGCATATCTTGGTTGATTTCAATTAAAAACGGCTAAAATAAATCATCGTTTTATTCACACGTGAATCAAGTACAGCTCCGCCACTTTTAGAACATATGTAACTGCTACTATATATAGTATATATAAATGGCTTACTTCGAAAAAATGCAGAAACTTTTTTGTTGCCTAAAGATATACAAAATTATCTCAATGTAATTTCTTAATAAAATAATAGGCTAAATATCTCAGTATTATTGACGTATCATCTTTTTTTATCTCTTTAATTAATTAATGTTATACAAGATAAAAAGAATACTTTAACCTTCTGTATCTTGGCTGCTCATTTCTAAAAAATAATCTTAATGTTTATTCTTGGGTCAAAAACATATTAACTTCAAACATATTAACATGGTAATTATAAATTAAGTTATAATATATATATATATATATATATATATATATATATATATATATTATATATATATATATATATATATATATATATATATATATATATATATATATATATATATATATATATATAGACAGTGCTCAATGTTCTTAAAAAACAGAGCAATAGTAAATTAGTAAAAACACTTTTCTAATTTTTATCTTCGAGAGCTTGTTTCTCCATCAGTAGGTTTGTCAGGAAGCCTGATCAACTATTGAACCTACTGATAAACCTTCCTCATAAACCTACTCATGGAGAAACATGTTGTTAAGAAATAAAACTAGATAGGTGTTTTTACTTATATATATATATATATATATATATATTTATATATATATATATATATATATATATATAATATATATATATATATATATATATATATATATATATATATATATATATATATATATCATGAATGAAAGTTAATAAACAAATTTAACTTTTTAGATTAACTTTACAAATTTTTTTTTAGACATTGGAGCCTGAAAGAGAACTATCAGGAATTTAAAGTGCTTGAAAAGGAATTTAAAGTGTTTCCAGCGTTTGTTATTGAGCTAATTAGAAAAATACACTTATGCTAGATTTATTAAGACTATTTATTGATCCAAAAATCAGATCAACTTTAGTTTTAGACAAACTCAAAATGAACAGGCAAAAGAAATTTCTCGATTTAAAAGTTATGCAGAGTTTATTTGAAATTCAAAATAGTAAAACAAGTAGTAACTATAAAAAGAATTATTAAGGTTTTAGAAATTACCTTTGATGTTCGAATATTGTATGAGCTCAAATACTTTTTGATAAAGTCAGATAACAAAATTCATCAAAGATTTTTCTTCTTATTTACAAAGTGTTTAGACATTATGTACAACTTGTTTTCAAAGTTTCTCATACTGTCTATGGTATGAAAGCGCATCAAAACTTATTGTGGATAAAATTCTAAACAGAAAGCATCAAAAGAGTTTTATGTTTAAATGTTTATTTGTGTCTAAATAAATTTTTGGTATAAGAATTTGAGTTAGTGAATAATTCTTTTAATTATTTAATATTTAAAGTCATTTTTTTTAAAAAGTTTATTTATACAATTTTTCCTATTTTTTTCTGTGTGTATAGATTTTCTATGTGTATAGATTGTATATTATGTGTTTCTATGTGTACAGATTGTATAATTCAAAATGTGTGTAAATTTTCTATATTTATATCAACACAATTTTACAAAATAAAGAATGATTAATTACCTAAGTAATTAACTAAAAAAAAGAATAAAAACTTTTTTTTACGTAAAAACTTTTTTATAATTTTATGTATTTTATGATAAAGACCATGGCCTAAAAAATCAAGGTCAAGGCCAAAAACTTCAAAGCCAAGGCCAAAAGTTTCAAGGCCTAGGGCCTTAGTTTTTAGTCTTAAGGCAAGGTCAAGGCCAAGGACTAACAACTCTGGTCTAAAGAAACCTCTATATAAAAAATAGTATAAAAAAAGTTATTTTTATAGAAAAGCTATACATATTTTGTTATAGGGTAGGGTAAAAAATTAATGACAATCCCTTTTTTTTCCTTTTTAAATTGTATTCTGAACAGTTTAAATACTGTTTGAACAGTTTTACTTTTCGCGTTTGTCTCTGATTCGCCAAATATTCTAAAGCATTAAAATGTTCTTCATAAGAATCGAAACAGTCTTAGTCCAAACTGTTAATTTTTGTTAGCTTTGATGTTATCAGCTCAAAAACATTTTGTTTTGACAACCTTTTATGTTATTGATTCGGACAGTAGATTTCCGAAAATAAATTCAGAGCATAGATATCTTCAAAATTTTACGCCGGTAAAAGTTTTATAACATTGAATGAAAAAATAATTTACGTCTCTAAATTCCGCCGGTAGCATTTTACGCCGATAAAAAGTTTTATAACATTGACCCCTGGTGATGTTTTTTTTTTTTTTTTAAATGTTTTATGAAGTTTTACCTTTCTTAAAATCTTTTTTTTTTGTGAGTGCATATTATCATTACGTTACATATGTTTGTATATAATTTTTATAAAACTTCGAAAGTATTTTGTATTTTAAAATAATAAAAAAAAAATTAAAAAAAAATAGCCTCTATACCTCTAGTTCCTTGTTCAGAAGTTCGACTCCTTATCCACTCGAGCTACACCGGCATATTATATGGGGTAGATTTTATAATAATGTAGTAATTTTTTTGAGGAAAAAAAATGTTATAGATCAAAATTAAGGTGAGCTTGACGCAATGTAATTTTCAAGTGAAAATCAAACTGTAAAACATGATAAATGTTTCAGCATGTTTTAACATATGCTTTAACATTACTTAGTTTAAAGTTTACGTACGTTAGATATTCGTTCACGTTTTATTTAGTGCTGCGACTCAATACCTCGGTTGCAAAGGCTGCCAATACCTCGGTTGCAATGGCTGCCGAGGATTTCGAGTCAAAAACGCTCCAAGGGACACAACTATTAAAACCATTAAGTTCGGCAATATTATACAGAAGATTATTATTATTATTATTATTATTATTATTATTATTATTATTATTATTATTATTATTATCATTATTACTATTATTACTATTATTACAATTACGTTCTGAATGTCTTAATAAAATCGTCGTAAGGAGAGGAGCCCAAAAATATTTTTGTACCAGGACATCTTTATCCTTTCCTGGACCTATATAACCTATGTAACTATGTATGGCCTGGGGTTATGTAAAATATATACGCATATCTCAATAAAAACACGAAGTTCAATAATTTTTTGACATAATATTGCTAATAATATTGCTTTACAATGTCTTGTATATTTTATTAAAGATTTCATATTTTAATCATAGAAATAACTACCATATTTATTGAATTACCTTTTCAAAAATGATTTTTATAGACAATAAATAGTTATTATTAATTTTTTATTCTTTATTTTTTACTTGAGCATCTTTATTTATTGTGGGGCCCAGAATCTTTAGGCATGACAGGGGCCCGGGGGAAATCTCTCTAACTCCTGGGCCAATCTGATCCTGCTTTTTACAATAAGATATTCCTCAGAGGCCCTACTATGAACCTACTATGAAAGTTTCAAATTTTAAAAAATAAAAATATTTTAAAAAATTGAAAGACTTTTTTCTTATTAGCAATTTTAGGCGCTCCTAGAAGTCCTAACGGTCTCATTACAAAGCACAGCGGAACTACATCTAACCAGGAAGTTCTATGTCAATGCCAAAAATGTGTATTCAATACAAGAGAGAACTGTTGCAAGAAAAGTATTTAAAGATTATGAAATTTTTCTCCCGATGTTTAAAGAAGGCAGCGATGATCTTTTTAACGTCAAATACTAATAGCTCAAACTTATAAATGAACAGTGCATAAATAAATCATTTAAAGCCCATTATACAGCATTGTTTCTTCAAAAATTAATAAACGCAACAGATGCTTGAGGAAAGGTAGAGAGACCAAAATTATTTGAAAATGTTTCGCTGAAGCTGGAGTTTCAGAAAAATTGTGTCTTTGGTTTTGATGGTCTCAAGGACCAGTTAGAAAAGCTTGCAATTCATACGTCTTAAAACAGTGACTAGTCAACATTACTAAACTAATTATTTTAAATTTATTTTACTAATATTGATAATACCATTTTTTATTAAGAATAATGAAATATGAAAAGGTTATATCAAATATGATTTTTAAAGATAGTGATTTGTTTTTATTAAACCAACTACCCCGTAATCGTGTGGTGTATGTCAAGCCCTAGATATAAAAAAAACTATATATCAAACAAATCAATTATGAAAAAGGAATTATTAAAAAAGCTAAAACAAGTTGCAGGGCTTTCGAGGGGGGTAAATTGATTCGGGCGCGAAGCTTGAAGAGGCGCCGAACGACTCATTGTTTTTTTTTTTTTAAATAATAAGAAAATATTTTAAGACTGACAATGAGAAATATGATTTGTTTTTGTTGTTTTTAATCCGTATACTAAAGCTTTAATTTGAGATTGAAGCTTTAGTAATCGGAATAAAAATGCACATGAAACAAAAATTTTAACTTCAAATTCTATGATTATATTTATTTGTAAACTATTTTTTACAAAAAATTAGGATTTAGTTATAGCTAAATTAGACGGAACCGGGCCTATTCCGTAAGCTCATGAACAGTTGGTCATGGTAGCATGTGCTCGATTGCACGGAAGATGCTGTGTTGCGGTAATTACATTGGTAACTGATCAAACTTTGCTTTGAAGCAGTTGACACTGGTACCACTGTCGACTTTATTTGGTAGTGCAAGTGAGACATTTATTAGCGATCTCACGATAAAAAGGCTACTTTTTCAAGTGATATTTGACTGTTGAAGCAACCAAGAAAATTATAGCATTTCATTTTTTAGGCAAATAAGCCGCATTACCTTTACCAGGACCCGTCCAGTTACCAAGTGTTTGAGTTTTTACATCGGGTTTAAAATAGACGAAATGTCTACTTTAAACTTTAAAAAAAAAAAAATTTCCTAGGTTTAAAAAAGACATTTAAAAATTGTTGGTAGAAATGTTGAAATTTCAATTTGATGCGTTTATGAAACTTGCTCAAGTGTGGCTGTTGGTTTGAGGGATTTTGTAATTTTGAGGGGTTGTAAGGACTTTATTAAGCACTAAAAAAAATTAAAAAGTATTATAATTTTTGTTTTAAATTGTTATTCTTACAGTTGTCACACATGCTAAAACTTTGTTTACAACAGAGTGTCAACAGTCGAAAAGCTGTGGGTTAGTGAGGGCCTCAAACAATTCACCTTAAGTTGAGCTAAATGAATTTCAAAGTGAATAATTCAAAGTGAGTCAAAGGAGAAACCTTATTCAACTGTGGGAAGTGTATGCTCAACCTGACTTAGTAATAATTAAAGCTGACTTAATTTTGTCGCCGAATGTTTTGAGTCTAAAAGATTGAGATGAAATTTTTTTAAAGGGACCCTTTTCACATTCTTTGAAGCAACAAGATTATCCTCGTAGTTCTAAAAAGAGAATTTTTTCTTTGAAAGTTTTTTTATCAACCTTTGCCTAATTAGTAAAAGTAGAAGGAGATTTTTGGTTTGGAGCTAGACCACCAAGTGTCTTATGTGTTTCGCTCGTTTCTTTGAGCAGCGTCGGTGTTAAGCAAATCGTGGACGTCGGCGAAATTAGCTTTGCGAAGCCCCTTTATGTAAAAAAAACAAACTAATAAAAACAAACCTTGGTATGGCCGAATCTCTTAGCTTGAGTTTTTATTGAGCACTATATTTTATTGAAAATTATAAACACAAGTCAGAACTATTATTTTTAATTATTTTTAACATATTTATTTTACACTTAACTTTGATATAGGTGTTCACACTTATTTGTTCTTAATATTTAAATATTAGTTTTCACAATAAGTTTAAATAATTAAATTGAAAAATTTAGGAGAAGCATATAAGTTTTATTGTTAATTAGGATTTGATAACAATAATTACACAAACAAACACAAATTAAAAAGATAAACTTTTCGGCTTTTAGCTTCGTCATAACTAACACCCGTTGCTATTTCAACTTTAATGCACAAAATAGATAAAGCAGATAGTCTTTCTT